TGATCACTTATTGTGGCCCCATCCTATCCCTGGGGATCACCATAACAAAAATTTACTATAGTTAACTATAGTTAACTATAGTGAAAACTTTGACACTTTGATTTACTATGGAACTTTACTCTGAAACTTTTTTTGAGATTTCAAAGCTTAAAATCTCTAAAATTCGATAACAGTAATGTAAAATTTGGAAATAATGTGTGAATATACAAAAATATTTCTATTTAATATAAAAAATGTGCAGGTATGAATTGAAGAACAAAAAATATAACGCTCTGAAATCCATAGTAAAAATACTTTGATTTACTAAAGTGAAAAAACTTTGATACTATAGTAAACTATAGTAAACTATAGCTAACTATAGTACTTTTTTGTAAGGGCATATTTGAACAATTTAAAACTACTCTTCCTCAGGAACTTAACACATAAGTTTCACCTTTTCTGACCTGGTGGTTCTTGAGATTTTTCCTATATTTTTCAATATAAAACTTTCTTCATCTATTGTGGCCCCACCCTAACCTTTGGGGTCATGATTTGAAGAATTTAGAATCTACATTTCCTCAGAAACCTTCCACAAGTTTCACATTTTCTGGCCCCGTGGTTCTTGAGAATAAGATTTTTAAAGATTTTTCTTACATATTTCAATTTAAAAATTTCATTTCCTAAAGTGGCCCCATCCTAACCCCTAAGGTTATGAATATACACTTGCTAGGAGCCTTCCACAATAAGTTTCACCTTTTCTGGTCAAGTTACTCTTGAGAAGATTTTTTAATGATCCCACCCTATTTTTGCATTTTCTTGGTTATCTCCTCTTGGTAGTGATCAACAGATGCTCAACAAGATCCATGGATGAAATAATGCATCTTGCATGAATTGAATATTCATTTCTCTAAAGGTTTTCCTTCACTGATGATATTTGTCAAACTGATCTTTTTAACTGTTGATTACCTGTCTGTCATACATGTAGGTAGGAACACTATTTAGACAGAAAATGAAAAAGTGAGCACTGGCATAATTTGCTTATAGACATCTCGGGAGGCAAAACACATTTGAACTAATTGGGCTTTAAATTTCTTGAGAATGGTCCAATCTGTAATTAAAAACAGTTTGTTCATGCTTTATTATAGTTAAAACACATACATATACATTATTTATGATGAAATTTTGCTGTCAAACCAGTCTTATTTTTCACTCTCCCACCTTCTATACCTTTATATCTAATATTGCAATTCAATGCTAAAAAAATGAGGTCAACTAAATAAAATGTAAATTTACATGTACTCTATTTACATTACATTAACAAATTACTGGGTAATTTGAATAGAAAAAGAATGAAATACAAGAAACTATGATAATATCATAATATTATGATAATACTCCTGGTCCTGCAGGACCTTATCAGTTTCTTTTTTTCTTACACTAGTAATCTCAATTTAATTTGTGTTAATGAAAAAAAAAATTCATGTAATCAAGTCAATGGAAAAAAAGCCATCATGTACAACTACTGAACATATTACATTTGGCTAAATCTCTTCAAGAACATCACTAAACGTCATTTACACATACATTTATATCTTGCACATACAGAAATGTGCTAATTCAAATCTACACTAACTTGCTGAAAAATAAATTTCTCTCAAATATTGTACATGCTAAATGTAATACTGTAACAGTAAAATTCAAGTTAATATCTACAATTTGAAAAACCATGATATATGATTCTTAGAAAATAGCTAATTTTTTCTGTGCAAAGTCTGTGTCTGACATGCTTTGTTTGCAAATTTAAACATATTACTCTTCTTAAAACTCATTATGGTTTGTTACAAACTGTCTATTGAAGCCCATAGATGGTGAAACATAGCCAAGTTGCTGTCTAAATTTTTCTACTTGCCATCTTTAGCAATTTCGTCAGCAATTGCATAACACATTTTATCTTATGATAGATTTAACAGTCATCACTCTAGTGTGAGGCAAAACAATAAATGAATAATACATTAAGAATTTTAAATAAAAGATTTTTAGCTATGAATTTGAATCAATACATGGTTGTTGAAAACAATTAATCAATATTTGATTTCAGCACCTCCTCAGATATGAATTAACAAGACTTCAAAACAATGAATTAGAGACTAAGTATAGAAAATATATTCAGTCATGAATAAATAAAAAGTATAGGATGATATGAACATGAGCAATACAATAATTCAGTCACTCAAAAAGTACCCAATACATATATACTTATATCACAGATCAATCTATGATATTATGCAACATCTAAATACATGTAACCAATTATAAACAGGAAAGTCTAAATCAAAGAGCTCCCTACAGTGACCTTTTGTTCAACAATAAAACACTTAAAACTTTTGAAAACACAAGCCATTAACAAAGAAATAGAATTCACATTAAACTACATAATAATTAAAAACTTTGAAATCTAACAAGTAAGACTAGAAGAAGCAGTAACTACTTTGGTAAAAAAAATCACAGAATCTTTACATCACATTGTGAATGGCCTTGTCTTTCCAATATAAGACCAATAATATACTATGTTTCTAAAGTACAGCATTATACATTTTGTAGGAAAAAAATTCTTCTACGATAAATAAGTAAGACAATTTGGCTTTACAAATGTTTTAGACTATACCTTGTATTTACCTATATGCTTATACTATCACAAATAAGCTCAAAGAAACATTGTATGATCACTCCAGTACAAACAATCTTTAATTATACCAAAAGTCACTAATGAGCACCAGATTACATGCAGGTACTTTTTCTCAATATTCATCTAACTTACAGCTACAAAGACTGTACAATTTGTTTAGTCTATTGGTACAGTTCTGCAACTGTACTGTCCTGATTGAAATACAGTTAATTATAATAATTAGCTGCCGATTACTCATCTTTTCAAAGGTATCATTCTCAGACTCACTCATTTAAATGGTGAAAATATCCAGGCAAGATCTTTTCTTCTTTTTACTTCAACCTGAGTATTACAAACTTTGGAAAGTGTCTTTGGAGTGTGTCTGTTGATCATCCTGTAGGAAAAACAGAAATTTCTATCAAATACAATTTAGAAGTAAACGATGTGTCAGTATAACACAAATGCCAAGAATGCAGCTAAGTCAAAAATAATTCAAGGTCTAGAGCTCTATCCTGCTTCATTTTGTTGGTCAGTCTGTTTGAAACTCGAAGGCAAACTGACCTCAAATGTACCATGTTTGTTGACTTCAATGTACAATGTTTGCATATAAATTTGACAATATTTATAGCCCCATAATTCCTGAGAGATTTTTCCAATACATTTCTGTTCAACACATTGGAACCCCTTTGAGGCACCATTCTTGCTGCATGGAAAATGGCTTGAATTATTTAAACAAATACTCTCAGAAAATGTTTGCTTACAAGTCTGATAAAATGTGGATTGATCTTAAAAAGATTTTTAGGAACTTTTCCATAACATTCTACTTTATACTTTGGACTTCTCTGTAGCCCCATCTTTGCCCTAGGGATCATGGTGTGAACAAATTTAAATTTACACTACTTGACAATTTGTAGCTTTGTGGTTTTTGAGAAGAGGATACTAATCACACAAATTATAGAAGCATTTTGAAAATTTTTAAGGTAAAAAACATTATATTGATCGAACCACATTAGTATACAAACTACTCGGCTGCGTAATATTAGACTGCATATGCTTCATCAATTGTTTACTTTCCAAAATGTCATATTAATTTGGACCCTGTGAAATTTGGACAATACAAAAAAGGTTCTTGGTTAGTGATGACTGATTAATCTAATACAGAGTGAATGAAAAAGATGAATACTAGATATGTTTTTTCTATAAAATAAAATAAAAAATTGTGTTCATATTCAATGTCTAAAATATTGTTTTACTAACAGCATGACAGTTTGCATGATGGGGCGTGCTAAAATTTTGTGTGCTGATTATCACTGTAGTCATCAATTGGATATTTGATTTCAATGGAATCAATAATTATTTGTATATGAAACACAGAATCCAGCAATACCACTGACATACTGACCAATCATATTGAATGATTGTTCACTAGTATGCAGTAAACAACAATTACATGTGGACAGACAAAGCAAGTTTTACTTCCTATAATGATGATCTCGATAGCTATATAGTGCAACAGTAGCAGAGTGGCCTTACTAATTCCATTCTTTAAATTTTCTTTTACATTTTTAAAACTCCATTCAGTCAAATCACAACAAGTACCGGGGGTATGACACATGCTTTTTTGAGGACAGAAAACGGGATTTGACTGACCACATGTTGCTGCTGACTACAAATGCTGTACTGGTAAACAATCATTCAATGTTATTGGCCAATATTATCAGGGTATTGTTGTATTCTGAGTTAAATATGCAAATTAGTATTGATTTCATTGAAATCAAACATCCAATCTTAGGCAATCTATGAGTAAAATGATAATCAGCACACAAAACTGTAGCATGCCCTATCAAGCAAACTGTCACGCTGTTAGTATTTTAAATAGGTATCAAAACTCTATAAAAATTTATACCAGTAATGAAATTTCTAAAATAAGGAAATTTATTATTTTGACCCCGTCTTTCAGTACTATATCAGTGCTTTGATAATCCACTTGCATTACTTGGGAATTGATCTGCTCAAAAAAACTTAAAACTATTCAATTATTCTGAAATCTTGGTAAGATTCAGCATCAAAAGCAATTCTGTTATTAAGCAGCCCTAAATGCATCATTCGTGGAAGTTTAGTACTCATAGGACAGTTTTCTGGGAAAGGACCTGCTTAAAAAACTTCACAAAAGTCAAACCTCATGATTAACTAGACAATTATATAACCAAATTCAACCCGCTATCTGCAGGTATACCTATTTGTCTCTACCACTTTGTATCAGAGCATTGAAGTTGGAAACTTTCAGTACTGTGAAACCTACAAATGGCAAGTCAAAAAAAAAAAAAAGAAGACATTTCTAGCAACCTGTAATTACCTCACTCTCTGAAGACTCTGGGGAGCTCTCCAACAAAGAATCCAATTCTAAATTCCCCTCAGACAAGGCAAGATCTGTCCCTGAAGTGAAAACACCCAACTCCTCCTTCTGAATCAGGGGCTGAACTGTTAAAATACATGTGTACATTGAACATGTTGAAAAGCTTCTCTTTATGACTTGCTGCAGTTTTATTTTCTCTATTTTTTCATTGAACTACAAAACCCTAAAATAACCACTGTAGTAAAGAGAGAAAAAAAGATAATACTTCTATTAGTGGAAGGAAAATGAAACCTCAAACCAAAAACCAAGATAATGGATATTGTTCAAGAAAGGTAAAAAAAATTAACTATTACACGTAGCAAAATTGTATTGTTTCTTATGAAAAAAAACCCCATCAACAATAATAAACAAATTTTTGACATGACTTTGCTTTTTTATGTCACCTAAGTGACTCAGGTGACCTTTTGCTATCTGTTTTCGTTTGTCGTCATGCATTGTGTGTTACGTGTCGTTTGTCGGCTGTAAACTTTTGAATATTTTCAGCCAGTTTTGGCATATAGCATCAACGGGTTGAGGGGTACAAAATTGTGAATTACATGGTCTCTGCCCCCCTGGAGCCTGGGGGGTGGGGCTGAAACCATCAAAATTAGTGCCATCTTTAAAATCTTCTTTACTCCAGGAAATCAAGCATTCAAACTGTTGGCATGATTGTACATGTATAAGCACTGAGCCCTCTACCAAAATTGTGAAATTCATGGCCCCATGGTTAAGGATTCTGGAATTAGGGTTGGGCTCTCTGATAATCATATAGTGAAAATGCAAATATTCTTTAAACCTCTACTTCTCTCCTCCTGCATAATTAGCAGATAAACTAGGTGCATAATTATGATGAGCAAGGATGCCTCTTTCAAAATTGTGAATTTCATGGTTCCTGTGCCAGGGCTTCTGGTGTTAGAGCAGGACTCTATTGACTATATAGTGAAAATGCATTAATTCTTTGACAATCTTTTCTGCTCCTAGATAAACTAAGTGCATAGTTATGATGAGCAAGTGTGTCTCTTCCATGTGCGTGAATTTCATGGCCCCAGGGCTAGAGGGTTCAAGTGTTAGAGAGGGACTGTGTTCAATCTATAGAAAAAATGCATTATATTTTTGAAAATCTTCTCTATTTCTGGGTCTCTAAGAGGGAAAAGGGTGTAATAAGCAAGACAATTTTACCACATTTTTGAAATTCTGGACACTGCATGGTGGTGTTCTGGTGCTGAGCAGGGCTCTATTTGTACTCTATTGAAAGAAGTTATTCCCCTTTACTATTCATATGATAAGCAGAAAAATCATTCATAACATTAGATGTGAGATTATCTTACAGCTGTTTTCTCCTAGTGGGAATCAAAACTGATATAAAAACTTTTCTGCACAGGAATCTCCAACCGTCAATCAGAGATGTCAACAGTTCAGAGACTTAGGAACTTCATTGTGATATATGATGTTTTATTTTGTATGACTCATAGATTACCTATTTCTTTTGGGCAACATAGCTTCATCTATTTTGCTTTATTCTATACTTCGATGGGTCCTTTAAATGTTGTTATACTCAGGTCACCGTCAAGGCCTTTGAGCCTCTTGTTTCAATAGTATTATTGTATATAAATATATAATTCCATACCCATTGCACAAGGCTTTCCACTGTGAAGTATTGAATTATCTTTTATCTCCAGTGAAGTAGTTGGCAAACTTTTTGACCACAAGACTGAAGAAAAATTCATTTTCTCTCCAACTTCATCTACAAATCATCAATAAAACTTTAAAAGTTAGAGATAATTAAAACAAAGACATGTAAAAATATATGCTTATCTGAAGGTTGGTTTTAAATTTCCAAGTAAATTATGTGCCTCTACCCTCTACCCTGGGGTTTGAACCTGTTCTGGATGAGTTTCACCAAAAATTCTGTATTCTGCAAAATTTCCCCCCCAAAATATCAAGATAATAATTTTTTATACACATAATTTTTACTATGATTTAATTTAAATGAATCTCCATAATTTTTCTTACAAATTCACTGTAAAACTATAGCTTCACTTTGTTCATTTTTTATAATTAAAAAAGCATAATTGGATTCTAGGATGCTATTATTTTACTGTTTTATAACATTTTTTACACTTTGGTAATTGTAATTCAGAAGTTTGAATTAATAAATAACAAGTCGAAAACTGACCAAGTGTCAAGTTGAAACTGAGCATTTGAGGTCACAGGGTTTGACATTAACTTTTATGAGTACTAGAGCCGTCGGGCTACTTCCCATAATTTTTACTAGCCCTGACCACAAAATCACTAGCCCTGACCAAACTTGAAAATTTCCTTTTTATTATGAAATATGGAGATAAGGAACAGTAATGAACAGATAAAAAATCTGCTAATTATAATCATGAAAATGCAAAAAAAGTTTCGAAAGCATACTTAATAATATTTATTTTGACAGACTGTTCTATAGGTTGCAGGCCATTGAGTAGGGATTAGTGGGACAAGCAAATATATATGCCTTAAAGAAAATTCATGGAACTTATTAAAATAATTACCCTAAATATAAATAAATTAAAGAATATATTATTCAATAACTATTAATACTAATTGATATTGAATAAAGTTAGCTTGGATCGCGACTTGTCTATTACAGTCGGGCTAAAAACAGCGATTGTGCCATATGCGAGGAAGTTTTCTTAAACTGAGCAATGGCTGTGTTTACAATCAAACAAAAGAAAATTTCTTTAAAAACTTTGTAGTATATTTATTTGAAAGACTGAAATGAGGGTTAATATTTATTTCATCCACATGACCAGTTGGTCTAGTTCACAAACATTTTACACAACTGGACCACCCATTTACTTGGTGACTGGGACGGTCGGACGTGCCTTAATGTCAAAGCAGAGGTCACAACATAACTTGACAATAAACTAACTCAAAAGATGTATTTCTTAAAACTCAAATCATGCAGGCATGATGATCACCTAGTTATGCTGCTTAAAATGGGCAGGATATTTAAAAAAAAAAAGTATAAACATACCAAGAGTAAGTATGTCTCAGTTTTTTGAATAATAATACATTTTCTGTTAATCTTGTGTATATATTATTTAATGAAGTTATCCTTTCATAGACAAAACTTTGCCCCAACACTTCACATGTGTACACTTATATGTGCACAATGTTTTTCTTAAGGACAGATGATACAAACAAAAAAAAATGGATGCCTGGATTGGTATATATTTTTTTAACCTATTTTGATTGTAAATGATGCAAATAATAAATTTCTAAAATATTAAGTACAGTTCCACGTAACAATCAGGCAGCCTATATATAAAAGGTGATACATGGGGGCTCTCAGAAATTAATGATTTTTCACTCACAGTTTTTTCTTGGTCTATAAGCTGTGTATGTGGAAGGAAAAATATTTTGGGTCATTGTTACTATGGAAACCTGGACAAAGGAATTTCCCTAGCAACCGCCCAATTTTTCTTTGTAGATTGACGAAATTTCACTCATTTTGAAGGTTTTATACGAAACCTAAATAAAGTGATTTTTTCTCTTATTCAGTGTAATAAGAAAGATACATTTTTAAAGTGTTCTGTCAACATAATAAAAAGAAATTACATTCTCTAATATATTTGCTATAGACACAGGTAAAGATACATGTTTCCCATTTTTTGCTGATTCAGCATTTTGCTTGATTTTAGCAAAAATCAAGTCGATATTATTCATTTCACCATCTTAATACAACTGTTTCATCTATTTCGTGTAAAACCACTGGAAAACCTCTCTTAGAATTTGAAATAAAAAGTTTTGCAAATTTGAAAATTCCTATCTGTTGCTAAGCAACAAAAGTGGATGGTTTGATTAATTAAAAAAGGAGAAAATGAAAAGCATTGCATGAAAAATCGAATAAATTGTATTCATTGAGTACCAAAAACAAATTTTAAAATAGTAAAATATACAGTATTCTTACTTGTATACTAAAGACTATTTTACAATAAGCTATCTCCATAGCAACAGCAAATTTTCCTTAGCAACGAAGCATTGAAAATTATTTATAGGACATATTCATCTAATTTTTTAAAAGATTATCTGATTCTTATTGTTGAATTGCTATTGCCCAGAATCGACATTGTCAAACTGTTTTTTCAAAGGTATTTTTGAGTTAATTCATCCATAGCAACAGAACTTGTTTACATAGCAACAAATGTATTTTATAAAGAATCAGTATGTAGCAATTCCTCAGCAAAAATCTTTGTCTTTAAAGGATGTTTACTAGGCAAAAACATTCTACTAATGGGAATGAATATTACTTACTTGACTTATGACTGTGGTATTTTTTTCACTTTGAAATAGTAAATCAATAACCTATTTTTCATGCTAGTGGCTTATTGAGACTCTAGAGTCTTAAATTTTTTGCAAATTCCTGAAAATTTTGCATCATGAACAATATTTGCAACGAAAACGGGATAGTCTAACTTCTGATAATTTTAAAAAAAACAGTAATCTCGTAATAAAAAAATAGATTTTTGATAAGGTCTACTTGTGACAATGCAGACCTAGTGAGGTATTGGTTGACCGAGGCCGAAGGCTGAGGTTAATCAGTTCCTGACAAAGTCTGTATAGTAACAAGTAGACCTAATTCAAAAGTCAATAACTTTTTTTTTTTTTTTTTTTTTTTTTACATTTTTCACAATCCACCTATTTTCTTCATCAAATATAATATAAGGAGTTTAGACGGTTCGGTACTGGAGTCTGTGCGCAATTTGACTGGCAGATAAAAATGTAAGCAAAGCTATCAAGATTGGCTAAGACAGAAAACCTAAATAAACAAACTCTTTGTAGCGAGATTTCTGTCTCCTGAATTACAAGATTAAAAAAAAACTTATTTTGATGAGATTACTACATATGTAATAAGTTATAATGAGATACTAACTCATGAACAAGATAGCTAATTTATTATAAAAAAAATGACTAACTCGTTGAAACGTTTTAACAAGATAACAAACTCGTTGTAACGAGACAACTAACTCCTGGAGAATGAGATTAAAAAATTATTATAATATGATACCAACTCGTTATAAAAGCAAGATAGGAAATTCATTTTATTGGGGTAACTAATTCATTATTTAAGAAATGAATTTAATAGCTACTCCAGTTATACTGTACGGTATAACCTGCGTTGGGACAATTTCCGCTTTATAAACCGTGGAGCGGTTAATAAAAAAGCGTAACTTGTTCCAATCCATGTTATACCAGTGTAACTTGGGCAGCTATTAATGAAATTCATTTCTTATAATTTAATTTTCCAATTAAGGCAATTTTCCTTCAGAAATGCCTTCAAATTAAGCATATTTTAAAAGTACCTCAAGCCAAATAATACGTTTTTGGCGTAAGTCATTGTGACGTAGGCAACATATGTTATTCGGTATAAACTACATCTTTTATTCTATCAAATGACGTGTTACAACCAGAATAAAATTATTACGAGATAACTAACTCTCGATTTTTATTATTTACTAGTCTAGTTATGACAGGATATTTACATGTAATAACTAAAAAAATATTTTTGATATAACGAGCTTAATGAAAAAATAAAAGAAATACACTGAAAAATAGTGATAGTCTTGTTTCATGAAATAAACAATTAAAGTTTGTGCTTTTACTGTAATCTAAGCTTGTTTTATATCTCCAAGTTGTTTCAATACGCAAGAGATGCTCTAGGTACGAATAATTTCTAAAAGGAGGCAAGCTACTGACAAACAAGTTGATGAAACAAGAATATCAACAGTCTTGTTTATAGTCATAATTTCGCAAGTCCTATGGTCGATACAATGACATTGTCAGCAAATGCAATCTATCTTTGAATTGTATGCTGACTGAACCCATTCATAGTATTTTTTATTGATTATATCCTTAATATTCCTTTGTATAAATAGGATCTCCTGTTATGGCGCCTCTATTCTCCTGGGTGGCAATGATTTGAAAAAAAATTAATTTAACATTAACTGAGGATACTTTTATATTTTTATGACCAATCATGGCTTTGTTGGTCTTGTGAAGAGTTTAAGATTTCCCCTTTGTCTTCATATTTAAAACTTTGATTGCCCATTGTGGCCCCACCCTACCCCATGATTTGAACAAGATTTTTTTTTAAAATGATGCCATTAATTTTTCACAAAATCATCATAATATCCCTTCGGAAGAAGGCGTGTCCCTTCATCTGAACAAACTTGAATCCCCTTTACTCAAGGATACTTTGTATCTAGTTTGGTTGAAATTGGCCTAGTGGTTCTTGAGAGGTAGATGAAAATGTGAAAAGTTTACAATTACAACGACGACAGACGCCGGACTCTTTTTGATCAGAAAAGCTCACTTGAGCCTTCTCTCAGGTTAGCTAAAAATCCTTAGCATGACAAACTTCAAATTGGTTCCCCCAAGAAAAAGGACGATCGTTGTTGATTCTGAGGTCACAAGGTCAAAGTCAAGGGTAAAAGAAAAATAACCCAGACAAGAATTTTTTTTCCTTTCCAGCCAGTGATCTTGAGCTTGGAGGAATGATCTTTATTCAATATGAGGACACACCCTCGGATCATTAGCAAGCTCTGTTTCAAGTAAAGCTATAAGTGAATCACCATTACAAAGTTGGAGTTCAGACAAGCATTTAATAAGTTTTTGTCATGATCAGTGACCTTGAACTTGCCAAAACCTATATGGGTCAAGGTCATGAATTACCCACAGTCAAAAGCATTCTCTGTACAACGTTTTAGCCTATTAATTCTCAATTACAACGTTAAAGAACAAACCAGAATTTTATACTTTCTGTAAGTAAACTTGAACTTGCGCGCAAAAATGGGTTTGAGTTAAGGTCGGCTTTACTCTTAGGTCAAAAGCAATCTTTGTACCAAGTATGAGCTTCCAGTAATTCTCCATTATATAGTTTTTCTGCCAGTGAATACGTACTTGCCGGAAAGACCTAGGGTCAAGGTCAACAAACACTCTTGGATCATCAGCAAATTTTGTTCCATGTATAAGCTTCCAGAGATTCGCCGTTACAAAATCACTTATTACCCAGATAATTATAAAATTTTTCACCAAATGACCTTGAACTAATCAAAATGGCTTTGGGTCAAGGTCTTAACACACTTAGGTCAACAAAGCAATTACTGTACTAAGTATGAGCATCCAATGATTCCCCGTTACAAAGTTTTGGACCGGGCAACAACTTTTATACACTTTTTTGCCAGTGACCTTGAACATGCTGGCATGACCTTGTGTCAAGGGCATGGCACCTCCTTGGGTCATAAGCAATCTCTGTACAAAGTATGAGCTTCCAATGTTTTTCAAGTTATAGCGAGAAGATTGCATGGACGGAAGGACACACAGTAAAGGGATTTCTGTATAACACACACCCCAACCCCCAACTCCCCAAGCCCCAAACTTTGTTTATGTGGGATATTTGAATATTTGTTACAATTTCAATAGCATAGGAAGATTCAACAAAAAACAAAAAAAGTAGAATAGCCAGTCAGACTGCGCAAATTCAGTTTTACTGCAAAAATGTAATATAAATATTTTTAAAAACTTTCATGAATACATGTTTGTGCTAAATATTACTTTCCTTGCCTTGTTGCTAAGGAAAATTTTCTGTTGCCATGGGAGATGGAAAATTTTATAATTGTATTTAGTTTACACAGAAGAATATTGTATATTTTATTCCTTTAAAATTTGTGTTTGGTACTCAATGATTACAATATAAACATTTGTTTTTATTGACCTTTTGAATTTGGCCTACTCGTGCCCATGCGGATCTCATCAAAAGTCAATTTCTTTTATCACAAGATTACTGTTTTTTTTTAAAACTTGTCAGAATTTAGACTATCCAATTTTCGATGCAAATATTGGTCATGATGCAAAATTTTCAGGAATTTGCAAGAAATTTTAAGACTCTCAAGTCTCAATTGGCCACTGGCATGAAAAACAGGTCATTGATTTACTATTTCAAAGTGAAAAAAAAATACCACAGTCATAAGTCAAATAAATGATTTTTCATTCCCATAAGTAGAATGTTTTTGCCTAGTAAACATCCTTTAAAGACACAAATTTTGTTGAGGAATTGCTACATACTGATTCTTTGTAAAATACATTTGTTGCTATGTAGACAAGTTCTGTTGCTATGGATGAATTAACTTTAAAAAATACTTTTTAAAAAACAGTTTGACAATGTCGATTCTGGGCAATAGCAATTCAACAATAAGAATCAGATAATCTTTTAAAACTAAGATGAATATGTGCTAAAAATGACTTTCAATGCTTCGTTGCTAAGGAAAATTTGCTGTTGCTATGGAGATAGCTTACCGTAAAATAATCTTTAGTAAACAAGGAAGAATATTGAATGTTTTATTAGTTTAAAATTTGTATTTGGGTCAATGATTACAATTTATACGATTTTTCTTCCAATGTTTTACAATTATCCCTTTTTAATTAATCAAACCATCCATTTCTGTTGCTTAGCAACAGATAGGAATTTTCAAATTTGCAAAACTTTTTATTTCAAATTCTTAGAGAAGCTTTCCTGTAGTTTTACATGAAATAGATGAAACAGTTGTATTAAGATGGTGAAATGAATAATATTGACTTGATTTTTGCTAAAATCAAGCAAAATGCTGAATCAGCAAAAAATGGGAAACATGTATCTTTACCTGTGTCTATAGCAAATATATTAGAGAATGTAATTTCTTTTTATTACGTTGACAGAACACTTTAAATATGTATCTTTCTTATTACACTAGATAAAAGAAAAAATCACTTTATTTAGGTTTCGTATAAAGGCTTCAAAATGAGTGAAATTTCGTCAATCTACAAAGAAAAATTGGGCGGTTGCTAGGGAAATTTCTTTGTCCAGGTTTCCATAGTAACAATGACCCAAAATATTTTTCCTTCCACACACACAGCTTATAGACCAAGAAAAAACTGTGAGTGAAAAAAACATTAATTTCTGAATACCCTTTGTATCACCTCCTGCCTGATTGTTACGTGGACCTGTACTTAATAAATTGTAAACTTTCTATGTTGATCAAAATTCTACCTTTCTGCAACCATCCTTATTAATCTATACAAGTTTTTGTCACTTTAAATACAATTATTGTGAAACTTTAAATGAAAAATGAAAATTTATGCAGTTAAACTTATTCATTTTACTGATATAAAAATGACTTAAGCTGTTATTTTCAGGATTTTTGATAAAAGTTTGTTTGTATCATCTGTCCTAAAGCTTCCTTTGTTCATGTACCTGGAAGGCTTGAAAAGGCAATGGAGGCAGTGGACACATTATTTGAATTCTGTTTTCTAATTCCCATTGATGGCTGGTTATTTTCACATTCAATCGTTAGTGTGCCACCTGTTGGGACTATTGCTTGTAGCTCTCCCTGGCTTTTATCCTGTTGTCCAATTCTTGGTGCATCACTAGTGGTATCTGCAGGAACTCTTAAATTAGGATCTAAGGATTTTAATGAATGCTCTTCATCTTCTCTTTTTCTATCATTATTTTTTTCAACATCTTCATTTTCATGAGTTCTTGTGAATCCTAGTGTCAGTTTTTGAAAAATACTGACACATATACTCCGGTCACCTAAAATAAACATAGCAAATCAGAGATTACAGAGCTAAGCCCAACGAATGTTGTCTTTAAGTAAGTCAAAGTCCCCCACTAAACTAATAATCTAGTAGTGTGATATCCATAGATGCAACATTTATGCAATTTTGGTCTGATAGAGCTTGCAGTTACTTGGGAATGGACTTATCTAAAAACTTTTAAGTAGTCACTCATCCAGAAAATGTAGGTCAGATCCAGCATCCAAAGCAAGCCTGGTAGTGTGCATCCTTAGGTATATCATCCATGCAAGTTTGGTCAATATAGGGCTTATAATTACTTGGAAATGAGATCTGCTCCAAAAACTTTAACCTGGTTACTCATCTGGAAAATGTAGGTCAGATCCAGCATCCAAAGCAAGTCCAGTAGTGTGCATTTTTAGATGTATCATCCATGCAAGTTTGGTCAACATACTACTTAGAGTTACTTGGAAACGGGATCTGCTCCAAAAACTTCAACCTGCTAAAAACTTTAACCTGCTCCAAAAACATTAACCTGGTCATTCTTTAGCTGAAATTGCAGCATTTGAAATCCTAACTGGTAGAATGAAACACACTACAAGCATCCTCTATGCATCTCTGATTGATATAGGGAAAAGAAGTACTTGAAAAGAAATCTGCTCCAAAACTAACCTGGGACGCCGAGGGTATTACATAAGCTCCCTCAACTTCGTTAAGGTGAGCTAAAAAATGCCATCTAAATAATTTTGACTAAATATTTATTTTGAACCACCTAATGGCTTAAAAAAATTTAGAATCAAGACATGACTAGTTTAGATTATAATTCCACATTCATTAGTCAGGGGCATAACTTAGCTGCAGACCTGTAGCTCAGTTGCATGATCAGTATTTTTTCAGACCATTGGTCACAGACCTACAGCTAGGGCATACATAACTACCTGGTATATCTAATTTTTGGTAACAGAAAGAGCAAGAGCCACTTAGGGCCTTTTTTGGCCCTGAGAATTTCTGAAAAATCGAAACTGCTCAGTTTTGGTTGAAAATGCAGTATTTATAACTTGGACTCTTGGTGACCGTGTATCTATTGAACATGACGTAATTTTCTCTCTAGTCAATGCATTATGACATCATAAAATATGTCATTTTTCCCATATCCTGTAAATTCCCTTAAAAATCGCCAAAAGTTGAGGTATTTTTTCAATATTTCATATAGAGCACAACCTCTGATCCAAAATATGCAATTACATAATGAAAGATCTATTTCTGAAGATCACAAAACATGTTTTAATTTTTGGATCGTGTGCTGTGCTCATATTTTAATTCTTTGCTGAAGGTAGTCAAATACACATGTTTTCTGCAAAATTCAAGAACATTGCATTTTCTCATAGATTGTTTTCCAATACCTGGATTCTCAAAAAAAAAATTTGTTGTAGGAAATGAAAGCGCTAAGTCTCTACTTTATTTTGATATATGAAATAGGACAGAAGGTGATAGTCAATTAATTGATGTAAGGACAGGGCCATTTTATGCATAAAGTGAACCTAGCTCTTTTAAATTATTTCATTGGTGCATGTAGCATTGTCGAGATGGTCTGCCGTTTCAAATGTATAATTATTTCGATAAATATTTACAAAATACAATCGGACATGCTATTCAACTCTAACAAATATTGAAGTTAACAACACTTTTACCTGTGGTAACCTCAATTATTTTCACAATTTATTTTTAAATTTATTTTTATATTTTCAGTAAACAGAACAGGTTTTTTGTAAGTAAGTAAAGCATTAAAACTTAAAAAATAGAGCCCTGTCGAAAGAATTGGGCAGAAATCATTGTCAAACTGAGACTGTCACTGTGCTGCTCAATATGAGAAGACAGACGAAACAAGCAAATTCAAAGAATTGTGGTCCCCCGCTTTCGGTGTCTTAGTGGACTGGATGCCATTATTTATGGCATATTGTACCTGTCTTGTTTGTGTGTCCTGTCTTGTCTGTGCATCATACAAAAAGACATAAATTATTGAATTAATAACACTTATGGCAAAGATTATAGCTTCTCAGAACTACGTAAACTTCAAGATCAAGGTCATGAGGTCGATGATGTCAAATATTATAATACAGTCCGAAAGGTCTTGTCACAAGTAATGTACATGTGAAAAAAACATCAAAAACCAGAGTAAACAATCGAGAAGGTCTTGAAACAGGTAATGCACATATCAAATGTAAATGCCATATCTTCTCTCAATCAGAAGTTATCAGCAATGTTAGAATTTTTTGAAAATTGGGTCAAACTTCAAGGTCAAGGTTATGGGGATAAAAATCATAGTACATTTGAAAATGCTGTCACAAATAATGCATGTGTCAAATATTAATGCACTATCTTTGCTCCTTCAAAAGTTAGTAACACGATAAAATGTTTGAAAATTAGGTCAAACTTGAAGGTCAAGGACACGGGGTCAAATATCATAGCACATTCAGGCCACACCAATAAAATTTTTAGTTCGTCAGACCCGCGTGCTCGTATTTAAGCAAAACTATACATATAATATTAATTTTTTCATTTCCCACACTATGGAAATTCTGTGCTATTTTCTATTCCATTTTGGCTCTATTATTCGTATTTTGAATCTGCTTACTCTGCAAATCAGAAAAAATATAATTGTCCGCTAAAATTTTTTTTCACGCTCTGCCTAAAAAAAATGCCTACAAAAAAGTAATAATATTATTATTTAACCGCTTGCCTGCTTGTACTTTTTACATCAAATGTCCAACAAACAAGAAATTAAATTGGCATGGCCTCAGAGACATTTTGACTCAGGTAATGCACTTGTCAAATATGACTGCCCTATCACATGACATTCAAAAGCGATCACCAAAGTCAAAAGTTATAAGCAAAGATAAAATTTATGAAAATTAGGTCAAACCTCAAGGTCAAGGTCAGGGAGTCAAACACCATAAAATATTTGGATAGCCCTATCTCTTCTCAATCAAAAGTTATAAGCAAAGATAAAATTTTTGAAAAGTAGGTCAAACTTAAAGGTCAAGGCCACGGGGTCAAAATTCAAAGTATATTTGGAAAGATCTTGTCACAGGTAATATACTTGTTTAATATTTAAGCCCTTCCTTTTGTCATTCAAAAGTTATAACCAATTTAAAGTAATATTAAAATTTTTGAAAAGTAGGTCAAACTTCAAGGTCAAGTTCACAGGTCAAAAACCATAGTATATTTGGAAAGGTCTTGTCACTGGTACTGTACATGTGAGATATGAAAGCCCTATCTCTTCTCATTCAAAAGCTATGACCAAGGTTAAAGTTTTTGTGACAGACAGACTGACAGACGGACAGACTGACAGATGGACAGACGAATGAGATTTAATGTCCCCTCACTTTCGCGAAAGCGGGGGACAAAAAAACCTTTGAGATATACAGGATATTTAATCATTATTTGATCCTTATACATGTACAAACTTTGTGCATATATATTTAAGTATTAAATCATCTCTTAAAAAAGGGGGAGGGGGAGAGTCTCAGAGCCCCTCCATATTTGTGCATTGTGATGAGGTGGATCTAAGTTAAACATGTATAAAGGTGTTTGCTGGTACATTTCACACTCCTGGCATTTAAACAAAACCAATATTACAGAAATATCTGACATATAATAAAACTTGTGTGCATAGTGCTCATAACGTACACATGTGATTCAAAATACCCCAAACTGTAGAGAGCTACATAATTATGGTCATATTTTTTTTTCTTATTTAATTTAACAATTAATGCTTTTTGAGGCTTATGAAATTGCTGTTCTATAATATGTCATGTTTCATACATCAAACAAATCTACGACATTTAAATCATGAATTTATTGATTAAGCCGACATAAGATTATTTATCTTTTTATTTTTGCTTGTAATAGTTGCTTATGATTGTTAAGTTTTCTCAAGTGTGAACTGTGCAAAGTATAGCGGTAAGGTAAATTTGGAAACGCGGGATGATTTAAAACACCGTAAATGACTTAACATCATGAAATTTGTTAAACAACCATTAGGACTAACATCACATACTTAACTGGTGATAGCTACTTATATTTAAGGTCTTTAATACACGATAAAATATGAAATTATTTAAAAGATTTATTTATCATTAATCAGGTCACCATCAAATGCACACATATTGAAGAATGATAACGCCGTACGTAGCGTATTCTGAACCATGCAACCAATGAAATTCCTGACAAGGATATGGTTCAATCTCAATTTTAATGGATTTTATAAATTATAGACAAATAATTATAAAATATGCTACAAATGTCATCTTTCTATTTCTAACTTATGAACAGATGTTGTGGATTTTATCTTGTATGAATTTGTGTTCACATTTTAAAACAGCTTTTTATTTTCATTTCCTATGTAAATACTAGCTGCAAAACATAGGTAATCAAAGATTACGAAGCTCACCTCGACGAATGTTATCTTTAAGTAAGGCAAATTTCACATATTTTTTTTTATTTAGTGTACATCCCAAGATCAATGTCCATGCAAGTTTGGTTTAAGTACGACTTATAGTTATTTGGAAATAGACCTGTTCAAAAAACGTTTATCCTGTTTACTAATCAAGAAAATTTTGGTCAGTTCCAACATCCAAAGTAAGTCTGGAAGTTTTCATCCTTAGATGCACCATCTATGCAAGTTTAATCATAACAGGCCATAATTTTATATAGCTACTCCAAAAAAATTATCCTGGTTACTCATCTGGAAAATGTAGGTCAGATTCAGAATCCAAAGCAAATCTGGAAGTGACCATCCCTAGCTACATCATCCATGCTAATTTGGTTAAAATATGGCTAAAATTCACTCATGTGGAAAATCTAGGTCGAATCCAGCATCCGAAGCAAGTGTGGTAGTGTCCATCCCTAGATGCATCATCCATGCAAGTTTGGTCCAGGTATGGCTAATAGTTACTTGGGAATGGACCTGCTCCAAAAACTTTAACCTGGTCACTCAACTGGAAAATCTAGGTCAGATCCAGCATCCGAAGCAAGTGTGGTAGTTTCCATCCCTAGATCCATCATCCATGCAAGTTTGGTCCAGGTAGGGTTTATAGTTACTTGGGAATGGACCTGCTCCAAAAACTTTAACCTGGTCACTCATCTGGAAAATCTAGGTCAGATCCAGCATCCAAAGAAATTGTGGCAGTGTCCATCCCTAGATGCATCATCCATGCAAGTTTGGTCCAGGTAGGGTTTATAGTTACTTGGGAATGGACCTGCTCCAAAAACTTTAACCTGGTCACTCAACTTAAAAATCTAGGTCAGATCCAGCATCCGAAGCAAGTGTGGTAGTGTCCATCCCTAGATGCATCATCCATGTAAGTTTGGTCCAGGTAGGGCTAATAGTAACTTGGGTATGGACCTGCTCCAAAAACTTTAACCTGGTCACTCATCTGGAAGATCTAGGTCAGATCCAGCATCCGAAGCAAGTGTGGTAGTGTCCATTCCTAGATCCATCATCCATGCAAGTTTGGTCCAGGTAGGGTTTATAGTTACTTGAGAATGGACCTGCTCCAAAAACTTTAACCTGGTCACTCATCTGGAAAATCTAGGTCAGATCCAGCATCCAAAGAAATTGTGGTAGTGTCCATCCCTAGATGCATCATCCATGCAAGACTGGTCAAGGTAGGGTTCATAGTTACTTGGGAATGGACCTGCTCCAAAAACTTTAACCTGGTCACTCAACTTAAAAATCTAGGTCAGATCCAGCATCTGAAGCAATTGTGGTAGTGTCCATCCCTAGATGAATCATCCATGCAAGTTTGGTCTAGGTAAGGCTTATAGTTACTTGGGAATGGACTTGCTCCTAAAACTTTAACCGGGACGCCGATGCTAACGCCGACGCCGGGGGTATAGCATAAGCTCATCTCGACTTCGTCAAGGTGAGCTAAAAATCATGAAAGCTTACGTTACATTTTCATTTTCAGACTTACGACTTAGGCCATAATAAAAAAAATTCCTAGATTCTCATCCCTGCCTGCCCCGATTTTTTACCCTTGCCTCGATTTTTTTTATTTCTGTTTTTTTCCATCTTAATTCTGATCGGGATAGGTATTCAACTACCATTCAGCTTTCGTTTTAAATCCTGCGAATGTCGGCATGATTTTGACAGCTGACAAGATGGTAACTACTGTAATATTTATTTAACAAGGATCATTGGTTGTAAAAGATTGGTGAAGATGTGTAGGAAGAGATATGCATATTTAAATGGACCTCTAATATGACTTTTATTCGGGCATTATAGATAAATTTGCACCAATTGATCAGATCAACAAAAATCTGCACAATGGAAAAATAAAAAATATAAAATAAAATCCGCCCACCCGCCTCGATTTTTTTTTAAAAATTTGGATGAGAATCTAGGAATTTTTATTATGGCCTTATAAACAAGAGGCCCATGGGCCAAATCATTCACCTGAGTACTTTGGCTAGGGAAAAGCAAAAATTAGTACAGTTTTGAAAAGTTTAAATATGTAAAAGTTGTCCCCAGGGGGTGGGGGGTGGGGGGTGGGGGGGGGGGTGAACAAACTTGAATCAACACTGCCTGAGAATTTGACTAATCATAGCTTTATTAAATTTTTCAAGAATTTTTCCTATTTGTTTCATCTTATATTGTGCTCTTGCCCTATCCCAGGCGACATGCTTTGAACACACTTGAATCTACACTAAATGAGGATATTTCTGAATTAATATAACTAATCATGTCTTTGCTATTCCTAAGAAAAAAAATTTTATTGATCTATCCTTTATACTCCTTTGTATAACTTTGATCCCCTGTTGTGGATTCTGTCTATTCCCAGGGGGTCATTTTAATCTACATTACCTGAGGATGCTTCTACATTAAGAACCCTCTACACACTGCACACTAAAGAGTTCTAATCCCATGGTATTTTCATGTAGTTAGGGTGATCTGCCCTTAGATGTAAAATGAAATAAATTGAAATCATAAGTTTATTATTCAATTTGGAATCAATTCAAGCATTCTGAACATGTCATTTATCCTATTTGAATTAAGTGAACACTCTATTTGCATGCATTTTTCCCATTTAAGTAAGCAAGAGTGATATCAGCTCACCACCACTTCATTATCTTTGAATATTTTTACTGGGGGTAATTGGCAGGTATCCTATGTTGAAATTTAAATAAATGAACTCCATATTTATATCTTTGTATGATATAATTTTCTCAGAACCCAAAAAACATTTTTCATTCAGGTGTATAGAGGGTCCTTAATATGACTAATCATAGCTTTGCTGTTCTTGAGAGGTTTTTAAAAAAAATTTCCTTTGTATTTTAATGTAAAACTTTGATTGCCCATTGTGGCCCAACTCTACCAAAAGGATTCATGATTTGAAAAAACTTCATTCTACACTACCTGAGGATGATGCTTCCATAAAAAAATGACCAATCATGGCTTTGCTGTTTTTGGGAAAAAGATTTTTAAGGTTTTTCCTATGTATTCCATTGTAAAATTTTGATCACCCATTGTGGTCCCACCCTAAATCCAAGGGTCATGATTTGAACAATCTTGAATCTACAATACCCTAGGATGATTCCACATAAATTTCATATTTTCTAGCCCAGTGATTCTTGAGAAGAAGATTTTTAAAAGTTGCCATTATATTTTCAGCATTACTAATTTGTAATTATCTCCCCTTGGAAGAAGGTGTGGCCCTTCATTTGAACAAACTAAAATCCCTTTACCCAAGGATACTTTGTGGCAGGTTCGTGTGAAATTGGCCCAGTGGTTCTTGAGATGAAGTCCAAAATGTGGAAAGTTTACAGACAGACAACGGACACCTTTGTATTGCATAAGCTCTTCTGATCTCTGACCACTAGAGCTTAAAAAAATCTGTTTAGTGTTAAATATCAAGAAAGGGGTACTTTATGGGTTGAAAAATCAATGTGAATGAGGTGGATTTCTTAATTATTCTTTATCTTGAAAGCTCTATGTGTTCTTACAAAGCAAACCCAGATCAACTGTTCCACAGCTTACCTGGGAGCAAATTCATATATTGAGAAAATTAATACAGTTGAAGTGAACAACACCAAAGCCTAATTTCTTAGAGATTTTTATAGGTTAATAATAACTCATTAAAAACTTTCCATTCAAGTTGTAAAACTTGTGAATGTCTGAACAAGAAAAACTTGGTTTCAAGTAATAACAGTTTAAGTTCATCACTTACCTGCAAATAACTTCTTTCTTTTTAAGTAGAGAAAGCAAATAAAAACACAGGCTAATGTTATACACACAATTCTGCAATAAAAGCAAAAATTATATGTTGCATTTCTTGTCACAAATCAAAACATAGATTATTAAAATTTTTGAGAGAGATTTCCTTAAATTTCATAAAACCACATGCACTAGTGTCTAGAGCACAAATATCAGTACACCAATTCTGGTCTACACAGGTAGGGTAGGATCATTCAAAAAAAAAAAAAAAAACCAGTGCACTACACAATCACTTTTCTGAACTAAATACTGTGGAATCATTTTAATTTGTGGGGGATCAATGTTAGTGGACAATCAAAATTTAAATTGGTAATGGGGATATAACTGATAAAAAGACAAATTATTGTTCATGGGGATGTTAATTCATGGGTTAGGGGGAGCCCCAAAAATCCAAGAAAATTGGTCCCCTACAAACAATGATGATTTCACAGTATGGTAAAACACGGTTAAAGTGAACATGCTGTTATGGAATTCATGCTTATAGCAGTGATTTTCATTCCTGTAATTTTAAAACAAGTTATGAACTTAAAGATAACAAATTATATTTACAATGTATCAAAATTATTTGTCTCTGGCACAGTGTTTTCCTGTATGCCCTCATAAGATGGAAGATGACACTGCAAACTTGACTACTGACATGATGGGGAACATGGGGAATGTCTCGTAATCTTTACAGACCCTATTTCTAGTGCATATGGAAAGTGTATATGTTGTCTTAAAATCTACGTATATGTCTGAATTATCATCTAAAGCTAAGGGTGCTACTTTATTTCACATTTTTAAAATTTCTGTTGACAAAAATGTATTAATTTCAATAGCAAATAAAATGCACTCCTAGGATATGCCCATCTGGAGCTAGATGATGCATATCTATTTATGTATACTATAGTCACAGGCCCTTATATCCCTTTAAAAATTAAGGTGTTAAAAAAATAAAGGTATGGAACTCCTTACATAGGGTACCCACATTCGCCAATATTAAAATTAACTTTTAAATCAAATGATCTAAAACTTTACTTTCTATTCATAACTACAGTAAAACTCATTTAGTACGAACATGGATATAGTGAATTCACGGTGAAGTTTTTCGGGATCCCCGCCAAAATTCTTAACAATTCTTTGTAAAATTTTACGGTGATAACAAACTCTGATATAACGAATCTACAGATATAGTGAACTGATTTTGAGTCACATAGAGGTTAAAAATAATGAAATTTACATCTTTTATAACGAATTTTCAAAGGTCACAAAATTTCATATATTGAACTCACTTTATTTTTGGTATGTATTTGTATATAAGATTTAATTCATAATAAAACCTTAGTTATCCAAGACATTTTTTGTAATAATTGCTTCCCTAACATATTCGGTAGTAATACTTGAAGGAAAACATGTATATTGCGAATTCGCTATATATAATTATAATACGAATTGGTTACACGGATATAACAAATTACGAATACAGCGAATTAAATTCATGGGTTCCCAGGACTTTGCTATAACTGAGTTTTACTGTATTCACAAATAAACAATCTATGTTACTATGAAAGTTATTTCTGAAATTCCGTATACTTCCCGAGATATGCTGAAATCATCTTCCAAAATTGACCTTATTTTTTTACTTGACATTAGCTTGGGCCTCTGAATAGTTACACTAATTGTAAAATGGGAACGATGGGACAAATTCTTCCCAGAATTTATTCTATAATCTCTGAATATTTGTTTATTAGTACTCAGTTTCTACAAAATTTTATCTGATTTGATCATATGGTCTAAGTTACTACAAACATTTTAGAGGTATAATCTTTAAACTAGAAATATGTCCATAGGACATGAATGCCCCGCCGAGGTTATATTAGTAATGCAAAATGAAAATTTGTATTAGTGTATGAAATTTGATGAGAATATCTTGAATAGTTTCTTTAAAATTGAAATTGAAATCTAAAAAGTTGTATATAGATGATAAAATTTTACCAAATTATGTATTAGTGCATAAGCCTACATAAATATATTTTAAATGGTTTCTTTAAAATTAAGCAAAATGAAAATTTAAGAAAAGTGAGGTCAAGGTCACAGGAAAGTTCAAGGTCAACCGTTTTTGATGCAGTTAAATAGTTCTCACAAATATATATCAGCATATCAAGTTTGATAAAAATATTTTGAATGGTTTATTAAAAACTGAGCTAAACACTAATTTAAAATAAATGATGTTAAGGTCAAAGGAAAGATCAAGGTCAAAAAATGTTGATGCACCCCTGCGAGATGATATTCATGACTTAAAGAACTTTTATGAGTTGTTCATAATTGTTCATGAATGCTCATAAAAGATTCATAACAGCTTCATAAAAGTAGTTCATGAATTTAATTCATGAACACATTCATACTGAAAAAAATTTATACTTCATGAACAATGATGAACCTTAATTCATGAAATTCGAAAAAATCTTCAACATTACACAGCAACACAAGTTTCATGATTATTCATGATTATTCATGACTCAATACAATTTAAATTTTATGATTCAAATTTATTGATATTGAATTTTTAAAGTACAATTTTAATTAACTGAGTGTTCTCCATTGGTAATTGCTTAACATTACATGTATTACAATACTGTTCAATGTTGAAATGGAAAGACTAAATAGACTGTAGAAAAGCTTGCTGGAGCTTTTTTTTAACATCATTATAGACTATCAGTTACATAAATTTAAGTCTTAAAATGCAAAATATGTATACAATCGTGGTACATACATAACATGAATTGTATTTTCTCATGTCCATTTAAGGATACACCAAAGGTTTTTTTCAAGATTTTCAACAATTTTGAGATTTTTGGCTAAGAAAAAGAAGTTAATCACTGCTTTATAATGCATGTAAAATTTTTGGTAATTATGAAATGATTTTCTAATTATTTAACAATAATGAAACATAAACACTACCACATGTGAATGTTCCGTTATTGAAGCTTCTGATTTGATCTGTGACTGCCTGCTCATGAAAGACGCAATAAATCACTGTGACCACTTGGGGAATTCTACACTAGCCACACAGAGGTTATCAGTAATTAAACTACAGGGACTCTAGATTTAGAGAAGGAGATCTAACAGATCACTGATGACCGTAAAATAGGAGGTGGAGCTTAGCTCTTGTCATTTTGCCGGGAAATCTTTCTGATTCAGAATTGAACCTATTTTACTTAATTAAAAGCATCTAAATACAGAAAAGAACCTCCCATTCTTGTGAATATGCATGAAAAATATGGCTAAGTGACAGGTATCCAAAGCTGAATCTCCAAGGTGTCATATATTTCTAGCTTTGACAGATTTTGTTGTGTAATGGGTTTTTGCCCTCTACTGTAAAGTAAGATCAGACAGTTTGTGGTATTATTTCAAAGGATTCAGCTCCCTTATTTATTGACCAATTTCTCTGAAAATTGGATGGGTTGCTTCTCAAATGTGTGTTCACAAAACCGTATCTCAGATTTTTGATATCTAGCTTAGTTTTGGAATTATTGAGGGAAATGTTAAATTAGGCTAATAAATTGTTAACATTGAAGGACAAATGGCTGTAACTTTTGAATTAGAAGATTAATAAAAAATCTGAGATACAGTTTTTAAGTTCAATCTTTAATCTACCTTGAGGCAAAATTACCACTTTGAGGGGTTAAATACAAAAAAGTTGATTTATAAAATATTTATGCATTAAAATTTACATTAATATTTAAATAATTTTTAAATAAGTTATTTATTAAAGTTTAAATTACGATAATTAAATAGTAAATTTAACAAGCTTTCAAATGATATATACTTTTATTATGTTATCTTTGATACTGAAAGAATTACATGCAAATTAAATTCTGGCATTTGGAAACCTTTGGTGTATCCTTAAGAAATACATGAATCATCAATGTTTTCAAGTAATGATAACCATCACTCACAGTCCAGTATGTTAAAAAATACTATTTGATCCCTAAAACTTATAATTTATTATCTGAAAAAAAGCCTCCATGCCTTTTGCAACATTTTTGTTCATGGGCATAAATGATTCTAAAATTTGTATCATGGCTGTGGTGTTTTACCTTTGAAGTAAAGTGTACAATAACTGGAGATACACCGATGGGCGGAGCCAGCAAAAACTGTGCTGTGTAAATAAATTATTGAACACCAAGGCGATTTCAACATTTTAAATTACATGTATGTTGAAGAATTACAGAATTAAATGGGCTTTGTTATATACAAAGACAAAATTTCTGCCAATGAAATAAAGGTCTTTCACATAAATTACAGTGCACATGTATCCCAAAATACGAAATGTTTTATGGAACTCTGCAAATATTCGATCTACTGCACTGAGAAATCAAGTTCTTGACATGAATTCCACAAATAAATCACACCTATTGTCAGGCGCGCAGCTGCCTATACGCAAGTACGCAACTGCATACACATCATTTCAAAAAAAAAAAATCTACATGGGAGAGAGCCAGAGAGAGAGAGATATCGCAATATCATCCACCAATATTTTCGTTTCAAATTTTTTTTGGGTCATATTATTTCGAATAAAATTTTGCGATAGTATGTCTTTACAATCAAATATGAAATATATTATTAAATTATTACCAAATCCAAATAAATTATCTATTAGTGTGTAAGTATTCTATAACATATTGACAATTTTTGAAGATATTTGAGAAATTAAATTTTAATCATATCGTTGAATTATATAATCAAATAGTTTATAATTTAAAATACAATAGTTTTTTTAACTAACATTTATTATACTTGTTTCTGAACATTATACTATACAAAGTGCAGACGATACCAATTAATATATCGGTAAAATATCCAGCCTCAAGTACTTGTATAATAAATTTCCGTGGAAGAAAAACTTTGAATTGAAAACATATTACTTAGTGATTGAAATGTTTGGAAAAACCCTGGAGTTAGCTTCCGGGGGCTTCGCCCCCTGGGCCCCCGTCAGGGTTTCACCCCGAACTTACTGGGAGACTCGGGGCAGCCCCCCAGCC